CTCTTTGCTTAGGGACAAGCAAAGGTTTGTCTTGGGGGAGTTTGATATGTCCATTTTATATAGTGTTTTACCCCCATCCCTTGGTCGTTATTAGTAGTGTTTTTTGGCTCTTTCGGGCCACTTTTATTACTAATTTGTGTGTTCTAGTGTTTTCGTAATTTTAGTTTTATTTTACAGGAAATTGCACTCTTGGAGCATTTTCCCAGGCTTTATGAATCAACTACGGAAGCTAGAAGGGCATGACCACTTTTGGAGCCCAGGATCGGTGAGAGCCGGTGATTAAGGGCTAGGTAATTGGGATCCCGAGGCATTTGGAACAAGTATTCAAGACCCGAGGAGGAAATCCGGATTGGTCCGAGAAATCAAGCCCAATCGAAGTCCAAGCTCAAGGAGAAACAATCGCCCGATCAGGCTACCTCTAGCACGATCGGGCGCGGCAAGGCTTTGTGCTGAGCGTGCTATAGCGCGCCCGATCGTGCGAGCCTCTAGCACGATCGGGCGACGCTGATGGGAAGGAACGCGAAGAAAAAGGCGCGCCCGATCGGGCGACCCTTCGCCCGATCGGGCGCGTGCTTTTAAGAGACCTGATTAAGTTTAGTTTTAATTTTTGTTATAGAAAACGTTTAAGTACGATTTTGTACGGAATTTTTAGACTACCTTCTTTCTTAGACTTTCTCTCTCTACTTAGTATTTTTCTCTCTCTTAAATTCTATCTAAACTTTTGTTCTTAATTCTTCCTTTAATTCCAGATTTCTTTTTGGTAACAATTTCTTCCCTTTTAATTTTAGTTATTTTATTTTCTTTCTTGATTAGGCTTTTATTTATTTATTTGATTAGTTTAGTCATGATGATTTGAGAGTAGTTTAATTTCTAGGGTTTATGGGGATCTAATAAATGATATGAAGGGGTAATTTTGTGATTGTTAATTATCAATGCTTGGTTGATTTCCTATTGGTTGTTTTAATGCTATGCAATTAGGTTTGGCAAGATTTAATTGTATGAGTTTAGCAATATTAATTCGAGATTCGACATATGAGAATTGATATTTAGGCTTAGTTTCAATAGGCGGATTAATTTATAAATGGTTAAGTCAAGATTCGACAGATGAGATTTAATACCGGTAAATTAACTCTTTGATTATAATACGTAGCGAAAGCCCTTTGTAATCTGATTAACCAATGCTTGATGATTGCTTATGATGAATTGCCCTGGAATATTGTTTATAGTGAACCTACGCCCTAGGCCTTTAATATTTGATTTTCTCCCTACTTTATTCTTTTCGACTCTATTCTCCGTAGTTTAGTTTTTATTCACAAAAATATTGGTTACTTAGATAATTTAGACTATAATAATTAATTATGAGTAAAAAGACTTGTCCCAACGCTATGGGGCAGGCACCACCACCACCAGTTCCACCACCCCAGCCTCAGCCCGAGGTGGCTTTCTCTCCACCTCGTATATCTCACTCCGTCCCTCATGTTGACTCTGACCCAGTTTGGGATCTTCAGAGTATAGGTCAGGCCTTAGGACGTATCGAGCATTCCCATACTGACCTTAAGAGGATGGTAGGCTCCTTAGACCAGAGGTTAGGGTACCTAGAGAGAAACCAGGGTAGAGCTCTCTACCCTACGTACGATGATTATGCTCGTCGGGGCAACATTCCCGACGGCGCTATTCACCCTGACTGGTTTCAGCCTCCATCTCAGGGATACGATAGGGATCCCACTGCCCATGGTATTTACACTGACTATTCTTCTTTCTTCGGGTACGGCCAGGACATTCCTTTCGGGGGACCGGCGGGGGGGAGTTTTCACGCTGATTATTTTAGTGGTAGCTCTTCTGGTGCAGGTGGTGCAGGTGGCAGTGGAGGTGCGGGTTTTGGCTCGATGGATGAGGATGATCATGACTAGCTATGCTGGGCTAGTTCCCAAGCCAATGAGGACATTGTCTGATTCTGGCTTGGGGGAGATCTTGATTTGGTATATTTCTGTTTCCCTTTTATTTTATTTTTGGTGTATTTTCTTAGGTTAGATTTCTTGCTTTCTAGGTTAGTTTTTATTGCTTTCTTATATATGATAAAAATACAAAAAAATTGAAAAATAAAAAAAAAATCCAAAAATACGTTCCAATGAATTGTAAATTATGCTTCCCTGTGCCCCTTACTTGAGAAAATTGTTTTGATTCTTGGTATTTGATGATAAGCATTGTGGATTAGTTGATCATGATTTGATGTTTGATTGCCTTGAAACCTTAACATGCGTCAATTTTGTCCAACTACTTGTGAATATAGTGCTTGACTAGTTGATTTGGTAAGGAATGTGTGATAGTTCCATAGTTCCTGGTATGTCAATGAATTTGAGTATTTGTTTGCAACTATTAGTAATATTTATATGATTCATTATTATGCACATTGTGGAGGACAAAGGCATTTGTTCTTTTAGGCAGCCTCCAGACATTGTAGATACATTTGTTCCCTTCTTGCTACCCATGTTTTTGCCTTGACTTTTTGTTGTTTATTAGCCGCATTACAAGCCTATTTTTCCCCATTGGTTACTAGTCCCAAGCTTGGCTTGGGGGAGCTATTGGTGAGTGAGGTGTGGGAGTTTGTAGTGTGCTTATTATTTGCACAATTTGGGTGGGATTTGAGAAGTTGTTTTGTTGTTGATCACGTTTATTTTTGATGAGTTTGAGAGTTATATTTTCTTGAAAAAATAAAGCATGATATTATGAAGAAAAAAAAAGAGAAGTTCAAGAAAAAAATGTGAAAAAATAAGTGAACTTCGAAAGAAAAAAAAAATGTTCAAATGTTCTAGTTGGAGGTTGATCAAAGAAAATAATAGAGCCTCAATGAAAAATTCAAGTTTGAAAATAAAGTTTGTTTATTCACTCTACTTCTTCATTATTATATCTTATGAGTGAAATTGTAAGAGTTGGGTTTATTTATTATGATTGGAGTATATTTGGTTGATGGTAGAGTTGGTTATGTAGGAGATGTATGATCATTATTTATTTTGATCATGGGTTTTATTAGGACATGGCTCCTTTAAGCATATCTTTTCTCTCACTTATTCCCAAATTTATCCTACCCTTTACCCTAGCCTTACATTACAAGCTTTAAAGACCTTCCGACCTTTGTGCATAGAATTGTATGAATGTGAAAGTGTTGTTTATCAATGCAAGTTATGATTTGACATATTTCGAGTCGACTAGTAGGATTGAGCGTTCATTGTTTTATACACACGAGAGTGTGAGTTAGGAGGGCATTGTTCACATAAAGGGGTTGGATGGAGAGCGATCGAGTACATCTTTTACTCGCCACATAAATGAGAGTTGAGTGTGTGAGCACTAGTCTTGAATTCTATATGCTCTTGTGGTTTGCTCTGTTTGACAATTGTTAGGGAGATTGGTAATTAGATGGATTTGATTGGTTGACTTTGAAGCATGTTTATTTGATTTACCCTGGATCGTTTGTGCTTGATTTTTGCTTTTTGGGGTGAAGCATATTTATTGATTCATTGATGAGATCTTTGCTTAGGGACAAGCAAAGGTTTGGCTTGGGGGAGTTTGATGTGTCTATTTTATATAGTATTTTACCCCCGTCCCTTGGTCATAATTAGTAGTGTTTTTGGCTCTTTAGAGCCACTTTTATTACTAATTGGTGTTTTCTAGTGTTTTCGTACATTTGGTTTACTTTTGCAGGGATTTTATGCTTTTGGAGTATTTTCCCGAGATATTTTGGAGCAATCACGAACATTGGAGAAGCACGACCAGATTTTATAGCCCAGGGCCGGTTAGAGCCATCGAACCGGTGATTAAGGGCTCGGTATAGGTGATACCGGGACATTTGGACCGAGTATTCAAGACCGGAAGAGGAAACCCAGATTGGCCCGAAGTATTGGAGCTCAATCATAGTCCAAATAGTGGCCCAAGTGAGCCGCCCGACCAAAGAGGCTGGTGCCCAGAGGCGCGCCCGGCCGGGCGGGAGAAGTTAAGGCTGGCGCCCGGTGACGCGCCCGGCCGGGCGCGAGATTAGTATTAGATATAAAAAGGCACGCCCGATCGGGCGGTGCCTCGCCCGATCGGGCGCGTGTTTTGATGAGGAGACGATTAACGTCGTTTTAGTTTTTTTTAGTTTAGGATTTGTACGGAGTATAAATACTCCTCCGTAATACGATTTTAGGATCTCTACTCTCTCTTCTTCTTTTTACTTTTTCTTTACCCTCTTAGTTGTTCTCTTAGATTTCTTTCTCTAAAACCTTTGTTCTTAATCTACTCTTAATTCCAGATTTTTTTTTTTTTTTTGCAACGATTTCTCTTCTCTTAATCTTAGTTGTTTATTTTATTCCTTTCATCATGTCTTTCTTTATTGCTTTGATTAGTTTAGTTTTCACTATGTGTGAGTAGTTCTATTTCTAGGGTTTATGGGGATCCATAAATAATATGAAGGGGTAATTTATTGTTGTTGATTATCCATGCTAGATTAATTTCCTTTTGATTGAATTAATGCTCTGTGACTAGATTAGGCCTGATCTTTTATGCATGAGTTTGGCCATATTAATTCGAGATTCGACATATGAGAATTAATGTTTAGGTCTAGTTTCAATAAGCAGGTTAATTTATAAATGGTTAAGTCGAGATTCGAAAGATGAGATTTAATACCGGTAAATTAATTGTGTGATTATAATACGTAGCGAAAGCCCTTTATAATCTGATTGATGTATGCATTGATGAATGATTATAATATTCTACCTTGGAATATTATTTATTGGTGAACCTATGCCCTAGATCCTTTTATATCTTGTTTTCTCCCTAATCTCAATCTTAGTAGTTTAGTTCCTTATTCAAATATAAACTTTGGTTACATCATAATCTAGATTATTTTAGTTAATTAGGAATAGAAAGACTTGTTTCCCTGTGGAGATCGACCCCACTTCCCTATCTGCTTTAGTTAGAGGACTTAGGAATTATTTTTTATTAGGGGATACGAATTTACCCTGTCACATATATATACAAAAAATACCCTTATGTTAAATCATACAATGTCCTCATTGGCTTAAAGGGAAGCTAGTAATCCAAGTGACTACCCCTCCTCATCATAATCGTAGCCACCACCATCCCAAGCATTGCAATGCATCACCTTGGTACAATTTTGGGCAAAAAAGAAACAAAGTGTTAGTAGGAAAAAAGGCAAAAACGAGTCAGGTTCACTATTTTACTCATAACGTTATTTACACAAATTATAATGCAGTGATTCTAATTGCATTGGAAAGTACACTTGAAGAGCTTTCTAACGATAGGTCACACACAGAATTTGGTTGATAATCGCAAAAGTTAAGGTGCTTTGAAGTTGTCCAGTTTTGTTGTTGCGGTTCCGCACACAACCAAGCGAGCTTAGCCCGGTCGGGCCCCTATATGGAGTCGGAATTGGTGGGTCTTGCCTACTCGATGCACAAGACTTATTTTCCTCTTCGATTGTCTTTGTTTTTTCTCAATTTAATTACGGGTCAATTATTATATTAAATGTGATTTAACAATATAGAATCATTAAAAGTTGTTTAATTTGCTCCAAATTATCCATCAAAAGATCCGATTTTTGCCCTAATTAACTCGAAAATTTCGAAACCCCTAACCCTAGTTTCGAAAATTTCGATACCCTAAACCCTAATTTGTGTTTTGGTTTTGATTTAATTTGATAGTTATGTAATTAATGATTTTAACCTATTTGATTCCATGATAAATTATGGATTTTCATGATCAAATTGTTTAATTTAAGAGTTAAATTAAATTGGGGATTATTTTCATGAAGAACCCTAATTTCAAGATTGAATATGATTTAATTTTGAAATTAAAAAGGCCCACCTTAAGTTAATTTATTTTTAACAAAAATTGTTTTGTTTTAATTAAAATCGAAAATAAAAATAAAATAAAATAAAATAAAATAAAAAAAGAGGGCTTTAGCAGCAGCAATTGCGGCTGGGTGGCAATGCCACGGCGGCTGCCGCTGCAAGTGGTCCGGAGGGAGGGGCGAGGCGGGGCAGTAACTCGGGTCAGTGAGTGCAGCAACAGCAGCACCGTGCAACAGTTGCGCGGCACTGTTGCTAGGTGTACGACCACCTTAGCTGGCTTCGGCTGGTGTGGTGGCTGGCGCATGTTTTTTCAAAAAAAATATATATATATTTTCTGGATAAAAATCAGATTTCAAAATTTAAAATTAGTTTTGATTTTGAAAAGATAATTACCAAAATTAAAGTTTTTAATTTTGTTAAGTTTGGATGATTTTGGAGCAAAAGATTACTAGAATGCCCATACTACCCCTTTAGGTTAGTCTATTACAATACCGGCCCCCTTAACTTCCACCTTGTCCTCAAGGTGGATAATAATCAGGTGCTATAGCTCGGCATCGATACTGAAGGTCATCAAGCCACCACTCCAGGCGTCCAAAACAAAGCAACACTAGCAGAATGTGTCGTAAAATGTAGGGGTTGTAGGTTGTAGTTGATGTAGGAGGGAAAATTGAAAAGGAATTTTGGTCTAAACAATTGGGTTTACAGATTTGTGTAGTGGGCTCAAGGTATGAATAATAGTAATAGTTGTAGGTTTTAAGGATCTAGGATGGAAAAATGGGGTTATGACTTATGAGTAGTGGACACACAATTGGGCTTTAAGTCAGTAGGCCTAAAAATTTGCCAGACCTCAGTAAAGGAATTAAGAGTGGGTAAATTGGGAGAAATAGAATCACGTGCCACCAAATACCAAAATTCTGCATGGTCAACACTTCTGTCAGCATATTTTGCCATGTCCCCACTCCTCGTAAACACAAATTTACCCTTAATAACAAAAGCTATAACTGGCTTCCTCTCCAAACTAAAGCTTACTCAGTCAAATACCTTTTCAACTTTTTTCTAGGATGCTTCTGGAACCCACAAAATATCCACCACTCATTCATCCCACCACCTGCAAAGTACCCCAATCCACTTTCGAACAAGCCACCTCCGACCAAGTGACCACCACCAGTAAACCCATCGGAAAAATCGCCACTCTTTGCCTTTTCTTTACCTTGCAGCTCATAGTTCATATTCGTATGACCACCACCAATCCCTTGGTCACACGCCCTACACCAACATCCCGGGCCACCACCTGACCCACTTGCGGCTGACCCGCATTTCACGAAGTCAGCTCTGTCTCTGTCAGGCCATCACTAGCGGCGGTCTCACCACCACTCTCAACTTTTCCGGTTAAAGCTCTTGAACCACCGCCAGATCCACTACTATTGGCGCCACCCTTCTCAAAAAATCCTCCTATTCCATTGCTTACAAACACATCAACCTCAGCCCTTCGTACGGTCCAAAGAACCACCTCCGATTCGACATCGACTCCACCGTGACCCCCACCAGCAAAACCACCAGAGAAATCACCACCCTTTCTTGCGACCAACGGTGGCGAAAAGTCTATTTCAGACCTGCTTCGGCCATCTCCATCTCCCTCAAATGGTGGGTTTGCTTGTGAAATCACCACCAAGGCCACCTTCGAAAACACTCACCTCACCACCAAAATCACTAGTATAGATTAACCCACCAGTCATCTCACCTCGCTTATCAGGTCCACCGTCCACCACCAGATTCGCCGGCGACTCCAGCTTGCCCTTCACCGACACCAAAGCACACCAAAGCACTGAAGGAAACTTCAGTTGGGTTGTCTGTGAAACCTTCCTCACCCTTCCTCTCCGTGCCCACAATTGCAACGCCTCTCTTCTCCTCGGCCCTCTCCCGTTCCGCTGCCATTGCTTGGGCAACCGCCACTTCCACCATTGCCCTAATGGATTCTTTCTCTAGTAATCCCTAAGATTTCTCACTCACTCCTTTCCTTCTTATTTGGTAGCCACAACCCTGAATTTCGAAGCAGCTAAGTCTTTAGTTCTTGCCAATCACGAAATGGTTGCCATCGGTGTTCACATTCAAACCACTGCAATGCTTTGCCATCAAGTCCAATGATGGCAGCCTTCAATTTTGTCTCCTCATTCAGCTGGAAAAAATGGAGGAGTCCTCAAGTTGAAGGACCCAATCTTCAAGATTTCTTCCATTGAACTCTGGAAGTTGAAGCTCACATCGGACTCTTTGCTCTTCCTTAAGATCTGAAATTCCCTGTTCTCTCTTGCTAGAAATGCGTGCATACTCATAACAAATACATTTCTGCATCAGTTGCGTTACACTCTTCAAAGATCATTTTTTTTTTAACTTTTAAAGGTTTTCGGAGTGGTGGTTTCCGGCAAGTCGAACCACCAGGAACGACGCTCTGATACCAATTGTAATGAACTGACTTTTTGGGATTATATTTTTGATTTAATAATGCAAATAAATAAAGATTAAAGATTGGATTTTAATTGATAATGGTTGAATGGTTACAAAAGATAGGATAATAGCTTAAGGCTATCAATCTTCAAAAGTGAGTTTAGCTCACAACTCTCCAAGGAGTGACTTGAGGTCACAACTCTCAACAAGTTTCATCCAATTATTGCCTAATCTCTTTCTTTCCCCTTACCTCTCCATTTATACTAAGGGCTATTAACCCTACTAAACTAATATTACTAGAATGCCCATACTACCCCTCTAGGTTAGTCTATTACATGGTCATGAATTATATGTGATATAATCTAATTGCAGTAAATAATCAAAATATGAGATATTTAGGAATCATGTTTCCTTAATTGTGAACATTCAATGTTGTAGTTTAGGAAAACATAATGAGTGATTTATTATGTGGCACTTTATAATATATGATATTATTTATTGCTATATGTAGACTAGTTAGGCCCATAGATTCTAAATACGATCTGCACATCGTTTCGGATTTTTGTAATCTAAATACGGTCTACGTAACGTTAAGTATTTTTTGTAATTTATTTCATTTTATTTAAGTAGTAGATAGAATAGAATAATATTACAGGTTGCAATTGATCTAAGAAGCCAATGGAGTGGAGGCCCAAAGGAACAAATGGATGAGATCCATGAAGATTCAAGTGGGAGCCTTTATTACTTTATTAGTTTTCTTAAGATTAAGGGGCCATACTATGTCATATTTTATTTATGCATTAGTAGATTATGCATGATAGATTATATTTATGTTGCTTGATGATTCGATAGAGTTCACTAAATAATCACAACATAATAAATTTAGGTCCTAGTAATATTGAGGCTTGTTTTTCCAATTAAAAACTCAATGAAACCTTTGATCTATATGATAGGTCATGCCAAAGCTGGGTGTCATACTATATCTTGGAGAAGTTGGGGTAAATCAAATTTCACAATTTTAAATGATTATAATCAACAAGGTTACCTAAAGAGTTTAGAACCTTGAAACAAAGGGTAATAATTAAAACATGTGATGATTAATTATTCAACCAAGAATTACAAGAGTTGTAATCAGTAAAGAGTTTACTCACCTTGAAAATGTAAAGGTTGATGGTAGGGTCGATCAATTATTGCACAAATAAAGGATCTTGGAATCACTTAATTAAAATTGGGATTAATTAATTGAATAAAGTGTTTTAAAGTTACCAAAATTAAATCAACTTATGGTACTTTAAAATTATTAAACATAATTATTGAACTTTGCCTCGTTTTGTTTTTGTTTGTAGATGAATAACCTTAACAACACTATTTTGCCAACGAAACTAAAATTAAGGCTGAATCTCATAAACTTGCTGAGAAATGTTCTTAAAAGCCAAAAGCTTGAAGCTCGTTTATACATAACCATTGAGAGCAGGTAGGTATACTGTTGGTTTTACTCCAGAAAGACCTGCGAAAGATGTTTCGGATGCAGCGAAAATCAGGAATCTCATTTTAGAATCTATTCCAACTTGTTGGAAAAGAAGGTTCAGGCACTAAGAATTGACCAACTTGCATGAATGTCTTCGTGTCATCTCTCCAGGTGGCATTGGGGCATTAGGAAGTGGAGGCATCAATGACCATAATGTAAGAGAGGTCGTTAGTTCGATCCCTCATATTTAACTACTCCTGGACTCACAGTGTAAGGTATGAGACTTACAATATTCATTGTAAGATAATGGCTAAGAAACTCATGCCTGGTTAGTTAGTTAGGACCCATGTCAATGAACCGGTTAATTTGGATATCCTTGGGAGACCTTTCGATGATGACTCTGCGCATGATACTATCTTGTTCTCACTCCACGGTGGATTTGATATAGTCAAGCTCATTCATAATGATGAGGGCTCGACAGTGACTTTAGCCTGTCAAGCGCATTCAGAAATTACACAAGGATGGACTTCTTTCTTCATTTAATTATGAATCATTTGAAAATTATGAGTCATGCTTGCTTGGAAAAATGACTAAGTCACCCTTCACGGGTATAGGTGAAAGAGCTAGTGACCTTTTCGGACTCATACATACAGATGTGTGTGGTCCAATGAGTTCAAAAGCTAGGGGTGGATTTAGTTACTTCATTACTTTCATGGATGATTTAAGTAGGTTTGGTTACATTTACTTAATGAAGAACAAGTCGAAAGCCTTTGAAAAGTTCAAAGAATTCCAGAATGAAGTACAAAACCAGCTTGGGAAAAAAAATAAAGCATTACGATTTGATCGTGGTGGTGAATATTTGACCCAAGAATTTGATGAACATCAGATTAATTGTGGAATACTTTCACAATTAACTCCTCCCGGGACGCCTCAATTAAATGGTGTGTCAGAAAGGAGGAATATGACCCTACTAGACATGGTTCGGTCCATGATGAGCTTTACTGATCTTCACATATCATTTTGTGGATATGCAATAGAAACAGCTGCTAGAGTATTAAACAGAAGCCCGTCTAAAGCAATTGAGAAGACACCATATGAGTTATGGACTGGAAAGTTCCAAAACTGTCTTATCTCAAGATTTGGGGTTGTGAAGCCTATCTAAAACGTTTACAAGGCGATAAACTACATCCTAAATCAAACAAATGTTTCTTCATGGGTTATCCCAAAGAAACAAAAGGGTATTACTTCCACAATCGCAAAGATAACAAAGTGTTTGTTGCTCGCGATGGTATCTTTATAAAAAAAGGAATTCATCTCTAGAAAGCCAAGTGGGAGTCACGTAGTTCTCGAAGAAATTTGAGACGAGCAACAAACGGAAGTGGATAACACCACATCAAAGCAAGGGCGCATGATTCGAATAATCATGCGTCGGAGCAAGCTAATTCGACTAGCGAAACTCCTATCGTCCCACTTAAATCTAATTCATGCGATAATCTTCAAAGAGTTAGAGAGAACATTTCTAATGTTGCTCCTACCCCACGTAGGTCTGTCAGAATAAAAAACAAACAGTTTGTTGAGGTTCTGTTAACTTAGGAATCTGAAATCTTCCTATTGGAGAATGAGGAACCCACAACCTACAAGCAAGCTTTGGCGAGCCCCAACTTAGATAAATGGCTTGAGGCCATGAAGTCCGATATGAAATCGATGTCTGAAAATGCTGTGTGGACCCTATTAGACTTGCCTAATGGGGCAAAACCTATTGGTTGCAAGTGGGTTTACAAGATTAAAACAGACAAGAATGGAAATGCCTACATCCATAAAGCAAGATTGGTTGCGAAAGGGTACAGACAAATTCATGGTATTGACTATGATGAAACCTTTTCCCCAATACCTATGCTTAAGTCCATTCGGATTCTTCTAGCGATTTTTGCATTTTTCGATTACGAAATTTGGCAAATGGATGTTAAAACCGCCTTCTTGAATGGGTTTTTGACGGAGGAAGTGTATATAACGCAACCTGAGGGTTTTGAAGATCCAGAAAATCCTGGAAAGGTATGCAAGCTTCAGAAATCCATTTATGAATTGAAGCAAGCATTGAGGAGTTGGAACATTCGTTTCGATGAGGCAATCAAACAATTTGATTTTCTCGAGAGCGAAGAGGAACCTTGTGTATACAAGAAATCCAGTGAGAGCAGCGTGGTTTTCTTAGTCTTGTATGTGGATGACATACTACTCATGGGAAATGACATACCAATGCTTGAGTCAGTAAGGAATGGTTGAAGAGTTGTTTCTCCGTGAAGGACTTAGGTGAGGCCGAATACATATTGGGGATCAAGATCCATCGAGACAGATCTCGAAGGATGATTAGACTAAGTCGAGAGACTTACATTGATAAGGTTCTTGATAGGTTTTTCATGAAAGATTCTAAGAGAGGATTTCTCCTCATGTCTCATGGCGTTACGCTCAGTAAATAGTGCCCAGAAGAGATGAGACGCATGGTTGACAAACCTTATGCTTCAGCAATAGGGTCAATCATGTATGCCATGATATGTACAAGGCCAGATGTTGCATATGCTCTAAGTATGTGTAGCAAGTTTCGGGCAAATCCAGGAGAAGCACACTGGGTAGCTGCCAAAAACATCCTTAAGTACTTGAGAAGAACTAAAGGAATGTTTCTAGTTTATGGTGGTGAAGATGAGTTGGTTGTCAAAGGATATACCAAACAGACAAAGATGATTACAGATCACAATCTGGGTACATTTTCTGTGAGAAAGGAGGAGCAGTGAGCCAGCCGGAAGAGTTCGAAGCAAAGCACTGTCGCAGACTCTACGACAGAAAGGAGAAGCAGCTAAGGAAGCAGTTTGGATTAAGAAGTTCCTAACTGAGGTGGGCATTGTACCAAGTGCTCAAATGGGAATCGAGTTGTACTGTGACAGCGACGACACCATTGCTCAATCAAAGGAGCATAGGTCACATTTCAAATACAAACACGTTGAGAGGAAATATTACCTCATTCGAGAGATCGTTGGCAAAGGAGATGTCAAGATGTGCAAAGTTCATACGGATGTGCAAAGTTCATACAGATTAGAATATTGCTGATCCATTAACTGAACCCCTTCCATTACCTAAGCATGAGAAACATGCTAGTGAAGCTAGATTGGGGCTTATGATGTAATTTAAGTTGTATTTGTTTTTGAGAAAAACTCATTACATATGTAATACATTCATTTGCAGAATTATGTTTAATCAGAATTTTATTTTTTCTCTTATTTAATTATGGTTTTTGACATTAAATAAAATGTCCAAAATAATTATGATGGATTGAATGAAACCCCACAGGTGAACAAAATCCATATCTTATTTAAGTTCCTAGTTCGGAATCATTAAATCGGACATAAATGATTTCATAAATTGGACTAGCATGTAAGGTTGATTGGATAACACAGTTTCATGGGCTATAGGGGCATAGTGATAATGCTCGGTCAATCACATGGATATGCATGAATGATGCATGATCGAACTATAGACCCACTTTGAAGTTCAAGTATAGAGCTTCCGGATATATTAGTGGATTCCTTTCACACGAGTAAAACATTGATTCCATTCAATGATTGATTTAACTATGACACACTCAAACGTCTAGCCTGGAGATTATAAAGGGTGTTTCCTGGTTACTTCATGAGTTGAGTGGGAGCCTTGGTTGCCACAAGATTGGATTGAGTCTACATATTTAATTAGGGATGTGTCTTGGCCCCTTGAAGAGGGAGAATTCAGAAAATGCATGGCCGTGCTCAAATGGATTACATAGAAATCATTTGTTTTGCAATTCTAACTCAGATTTCAAGAAAAGATTTGTAGGTTAATATGATCATGACATGAGATGCAATCATATTATCAAATCGACACACATTGGCTTAAGGAATTTGAATATTACGCACTTGTCACGGACAAGTGGGAGATTGAAGGAGTTATGTCTTCGATTAGTACAATTACTAGATATATCAAGGATCACGATTATGGAGATAATTAGTTTATTCTATAAGGTTGTCAATGTTTGTTGCTAGATATGACAATTGATCTTCGGGCTAATTAAATGGCCCAAAGCCTTAAAAAATAGATCATACATGGTCACACACAAGAGTATTGGGTTAAACAAGTTAGAGGCCCATTATTGAGCCTCATGAGTTTATGACATACCATATTAATAGTTGGGCTATGATAGTTAGAAGAGTCTAATAGGTTTTGGGCTTGACATGGATTTATTTAGAGATGTGATCTATAAATATAATCCATGCCTAGGGGTGCAAGACAGAACAATTAACACACAGTGAATTGTCAATCAAGCAACCAAGGTTCCCAAAACCCTAATTCTCTCTCTCTCCCACACGGCCCTCTCTCTCTCTCCTCCCTTGACCGTACGGCCACCCCTCAAGGTGGTGCGTGTGGTGGTTGTTCGGGTGGTACGTGGTGTGCTCGTGACTCATATCTCCGTTGAAGGTTGATTGAAGTGTTCGGTCACGAGTAACTAGCATTAGTGGATGTTTAACCCGTGCTCGTGGACTTAGTAGAGGAATCACACGTGGAGTTCTTGTTCTCCTTATTGTTTTTGCTCGATCATACGTGGAATCACGCTTCAAAGGTATAATTCTTACTTCTTTATGTGTTATGCAATGATCTTTTGTTTAGGTGCTTTATGAATGTGATTCATGTCTATTCCGCGATTAGTACCTATAAACTCCTACAATTATAACTTTTGTATCCAAATTTCTTCCATTATTGATCAAAGACTCAAGCTTTTATCTTTAAAATTTCTTGTTCAATAGAACTATGATCTGAAAATCCTAGTCTATTACACACTATAAAACACGGTTCCTTTGATTAAAAGGAGACTTCCTAAACAATGACAAAAATCTGAAATCATGAAGTAGATCTTGTTGTCTAACAATCATAACTTTGAAATAAAAGAGAAGGGTGACATGACAAATACCTCGATTATCTTCCCAAATTGAGAAAACTCTTCATATAGCAAATTTTTCAACTCTGAAAAAACCCATTATAGTAGAATTAAAAGCATAAGCAAGCAGAAGAATAGAGAAAGGTGAAGAGATTTAAGGCAAAACTTAAATACCAGTGAGTTTGATTCTTTCATTGAGATTGTTGATGTAGATAGTTAGATTACGAAGAACAACACTTCCAGTGTTTGCGACTTCTGTCACGGCCATACAGCTTTGAGCTCGCACTTTCTGTGTAGTGTGATTGCAGTCGTGAGACACTACTATAGCCTCTACGCAAACTAACATAGAAATGAAGTTTGGAAAGACAGAGTTAACATCCCTCATCTCTTGATTAGGAAAAGGTAGCTCAGGGAAGAAGGGATCGAGTTTGAGAGAGCAGGAAGCGGTAACTAGGGTTTTCCTGATAAAGAGAGGGAAGCAAATTTTCTATTTCAGTTAATTCAAATGTTGCGGCCATAGGAAAAGTGGAGCATTTTACTCAAATGCTAAGAATTTTTTCATTCGGAGCATTTGAGAAACATTTTTTTTTTTAGTCTATGTTATTAAATCCTGCATTCTTTCACCCAAAAAAAATGTAGCAAATGAGATTTGCCTCTAATTCCCTACAATAATGGTATTCTTCTAAAATATAAATTGAAGGATATATAAAAAGCCCTCCACCCTCTAATACTAGACACTCCAAACTCTAAAGGGCATCAAGAAAAGTTACAAGGTGGCAAGGATAAGAACTTGATATAGAAATAAGGGAGTGGTTGACTTGATAAAAAGGAATCAAACGAATTACAAAATTATATTATAAAAAAAATAAAAAAAAAAAGATAAAAAAAAAAATCTACATACTACAAAAGTAAAAAAGTGCATAATAAATCTAGCAATAAATTGAAGAAATTGAGGGATGAATTTGATATAGTATCAAGCTCACCCCTAAACTCAGTCAATTCCATTCTATAATACCCAATCAAATACCACTAAAGAAGCTTCCCTTCAACCTAATTCTTCTTTGAAATAATTCTTAATTGAAAACTAAATTCATTTCAAAACCTGACATTAAGATAGGAGAAATGTCTGGCGTGTATACTTTTTAAATTTGAATAAGAGCCTTACATTATTGCAATTGAGTCTTAATCATTAGTCCATTGGAGTCCATATCCACCGCTATTCACATAATAATTAATGGAACCTAGTTCAAGGGAATTCCCAAACCCCTTCTCCTCTAAAGAGACTATCTCATTCCTTTCAATAGACAGGTGAGCCTTGCTCAGTGCGAGATAGTGAATTTTGACAGGTCGTGAAAGTAAAAAAAAGACCATGTGACACAAGAGAGGCATTATAAGCTAAGATAGTAAAAATCAAGTATATTTACCATAAAATCCAGATAGGAGCTGCTGCACTGAATCTGATAGAGTAACACGGAGTATTGAATTAGGTCTTAGTCCCAACAGTGGAACACTAAGCATCCTTCACCAGCTCTAACATTAATATCTCTCAGAAATCCACGTTCTCATAGCTGTTTGATTGGTGAAAATAACTATATTGACAACACATGCCGTGTTATTAAGAACAGGTGTATAGCTTCACTGCACCATCACCAGCAAAATTAGATTAGATTAGACATTGATCTTTAAAGTTCTATACATAAAAAAGGAACAGGTGAATCAAACCATGTTATTGACATGAAGCACGATATCCTTGGTAAGTTGGTATATATAATGAAAAAGGATGAGATGAATCAAATCTTTTTCTCATCTCACCTCAATCGTAACCCAAAACTGTTACAGCAATCTTCATATTTGCAGCCTCCTCTTCTATAATTATACTAATATGCACATACTTTTAGTTTACAAGTGTGGCAGTACAAACATAAAGGGAACACACAAATTGATTCCATATTGCCAATAGACCATTTTTATCCTTAAGGGTGCTTTTCTGATGCGATGTCAAACCAACGTGCACCAAGAGTCTTTAAGTCCCAAACAATTTCAGATATCTCATTTTGGGGTAGACTTAGACCTTGAGTCTTGATTGACTTAAGTAGTTCAGAAAAGAATTTAGGATCTTGTAATTTGATGTATTCAAGCAACATTTGTTCATGATCAGGCACCCAAACACGAGGGAATGGAGTATAATCACAGCTGGGGATCAAAGACATGTGAGAAAACTGCACACCTTCAATGGCATCAACAAGACCCAACTTCAGAAGATCTGAGTACTCAGATGCCACATTGTTTCCTTTGCCTCTTAAAGGATGACTGAGGCTTCGGGAAGCTATCTTGTATACCTTGGCACGAGATTTGAGCTTATACCTGGCAGCATATAGCTTGGCTAAAGAGCTGCGGATCACATAAGCACAAAAGCCAACAACTTTTTTACGGTTGTCAGCATATCTATACCAATCAGCCATAGTTTCAAGGAACTTATTCATCTGAGAATTTGTATGAGCTTGGCTGGAATAAAGCATCGGAGTACAGGGCAATGGCTCTGGATCCTCCTCACCCTTTAACAGTTCAAGGCGCCTGAATCGGCGAATACATTGTGGCAAGCTAGCAGTAACCGAAAGCAATGTTCCTACACACTTTTTACTAACAGTTTTACCACCTGTACCTGTGTAATGCAATGTTGGGTATACTACACGATGGCAAATGACATGGTCAAGAAACAAAATTCCCCTACTTACATGCTCAATCTCCACCTTTGAGTAGTCCAACTTTATCCCTAGTTTGCTACTGCAGAAGTCAATCAACTCTTCCCTTATCTTCGCAGCATCCTCCCGGGATCCTCGAATGCCTATCAAAAAATGACCACCATATCGTATATAATCCATTTTTCTTGTTTTTTCCTTCCCACCAGATGGAACAAACTCAGGCCAAGCAGGGTTATGACAACTATCAGTCTTTGAATCCTTCCAAATCGAGTCAAGCATAGACAGCCTAAAAAACTCAACTATTTTCTCCTCCATCATATGATCAAGTATATTTAAACAAACATTAGCAAGAAAAGGACTAAGAATTCCACAATGGCCATAATTCGGCACCTTAGCTGCCTCCTCTGGTGCAAAATTATAGAATGTTCTAAGCCAATAAGGATCCGGTTTTGGCTCATTTGGATTCAAAACCTTCCTACGTTTTTCATCACTCTTTTTTTTCCTCTTCCCCGCCCCTCTCTTCCACTTCCGGCCATCATCAACCTCGAAACAACGTTTCGAAGTCCCTCTAAAGGAAGAACTAATCAAACCTAACACTCTTTTATCCTTCACAACTTCCTCCACACAATGCATAACTAAACCCTTATCAACATTCTCCAAAACCTCACTCAAATCACCTCTCAAATACCAAAGATACCCAGCAAAATTACTCCTAATAGTCCTAATTACAGTATGAGCAGTACGCCCGAGGCGAAAACCGTGTGATTTCGACGAAAATCTAGACTCAAATACAGGTTCAAGAATCAACAACAAAGCCTCCTGAACAACACGGTCTTGAAACGGTGGGTTACTAGAACCCAACAGCTTCTTCAAAGTTGTTTTAGAGGTAAATTCAGTAATGGGTTTTTCAATTGGACTACGAATATACAACTCAGTTTTCATATTCCATTGAAACTGACCTTTAACAACAGCATTACGAAGCGATAGAAGATGATGCAATGTCTGTGAGTGAATGGCGCTTGAGGTAGGAAATGAGCCAGTGAAATGCGCAACAGAACGCTGGTATGCTAAAACCCAGATATCAAATTTGGAAAGAAAGCCTGTAAGATTAGAGAAAGGCTTTGATTTTGGAGTAGAGAAGGATTTTACCCAGATTTCTGAGCAAATTTGAATTGGGTCTTCTTTCATTAGAGCATATGGGTCTTGCTGATTTTGTTGGGGTTGTGAAGGATGATGATTTTGATGATGTGGGTGTGGAGAAAGAGAGGAGAGAGAGTGCAGGGATGAGAAGCGTACCAGTAGAGGATTGCTCGGAAGATGTTTGATGAAAGTCCTCAACGACATGATCGTAGAGAACAAAGGTATAGGACGTTGGAGAAAATTCGAAAATTTATATACTCCCACAATAGTTAGTAAAACCCCTAAGCAGTTAGGTGTAGTTTAGAGCAAGATTATTAGCTATAAGCCTCTAACTCTAAAGTTCTGTTCATATTTACTTATTTTCAGTTCAATTCAACTTCAATCAATTCAATTCAGTTCAGTTCAGTCCAGTTCAGTCCAGTTCAGCTCCAATCAGTTCAGTTTAGCTCATAATTTCTCTCTCTCATAAAATATTCATTTCAACTTAGGCCCTGTTTGATTCACCTTAATTTTGCTGAACTGAAATTATTTTTACTGAACTGAACTTATTTTTACTGAACTAAACTTAATTTTACTGAACTAAAATTATTTTTACTGAACTTAAATTATTTTTACTGAACTGAAATTATTTTTACTGATTTTCTATTATAATTCTTCTTTAAGGAAACTGAATTTTACTGAACTGAAATTAATTTTACTGAACTAAAATTAATTTTACTGAACTGAAATTATTTTTACTGAACTGAAATTATTTTTACTTAATATTATTTTTTTAAGGTGAAGAGAACAGGGTCTTAGTTCAGTTCAGTTCAGCTCCAATCAGTTCTGTTCAGTTCAGTTCAGCTCCAATCAGTTCAGTTCAGTTCAGTTCAGTTCAGCTTAGTTCAGTAAATATGAACATACCCTAAGTCTTAAAATTTGGCATGATAACCAGTAGTTTTCATTTATTTTAAGATAAGACTTCTCCCCTAAAAAAAATAATAAGACTTTGCAAATTTTTATATTAATGTTGTTTTGTCTTAATAAAGTCTAGAAATGGAGTTTTGATTCAAAAAAACATGGATGATGTTAGCTTAGGGTTGAAGAGTTAAATTTTGTTATAGTTTCATGAGCGGAGAGAGTAAGTCATATTTAGTTGCACACACGTCTTTACATGTCTGTGTCTTGTTGGGTATATTTCACAAATTAAGTCACAAATAAGTTATTATTGCTACTTACAATATCTTTGGTCTCAAAGGTTATAATACTTGTCTCTAAGGTCAAGGATTACATTTGTAGTATAAATATCCATCATGTTACTCTTGTTTTGTGCACATGACATAAGATACACAACACATAACACATGTCAAATACCAGAAAGTGTATTGTTCTTGTCCATCTTTTATCTATTTATTTCTCTATATCATTTTGTGCTTTCGCTTGTGCTCCCAATCCCTACATGTCTAACATCGTATCTTAGTTTATACTATAAAATTTGAAGTACTTATTAACACATATCAGTTGTGGTCAATAAGCTTATTAACACTATCAGTTGTGGTCAATAAGCTTATTAACACATATATTACGTCCAAGTGGAATTTAAGAGACGTCATCAGCTGCCAGCAATATATTGTTGAAAGATGTAACATGTCTATAGTTTAATTTCTTAACGTAAGAAGATTTTTTTGTCTTTTTTTAACAACCAAAAAAGTATTATCTAGACTTGAGAAAATTTTCTCTCTCTACATTTGAGAGCTTCTCTCACTAAGAGTAAACAGAATGATTGACCACAACCATTGTGGTTATAGGTTAATTTATTAATTTCTCCATCTTCCACTTCACCTATACCACTCTTATACCCGTTTAATAATCAATGTCTCACAATAGTTAACCACAACTTTTTTGTTATACATTTTCTCTCTTCTACTTTTACCCAACCCAACCCAACCCCACCACACAATCTCTCTCTTAAATCCTATCATATATAACTAGTGCACTTGGTAATAATCAATCATAACTAATAATTATTATTAGCATACATTAATTAAAAAAAAATGACTTATTTTAGAATTAATGCATCATATTATTTAATTAGTACATAATTAGTCGTTAAAATTAAGAAATAAACAAGAATTAAGAAATACACAAGAATTGCAACTTTACTAAATTCGATAATAATAAAAATAATACATATTCTATCAAATGACAACAATCTTTAAAAGATAACAACGAACCGTGATTGAGTGCAAATACAATCATTTAATGTTACGATTATACAGCTATTGACGCAAAAAAAATTTCCTGTTATTAACAATGAATTTGAGCAACATATGTTCAATTAAGGGTCTGTTCTCATTGACTGAAATGAGTTGAACTAAATTGAACCGAACTAAAATGAATATTTTATAAGAGAACGAAATTAGGAGCTAAACTGAACTTTATTGAACTAAACTGAACTTATTAGAGTTGAACTGAACTGAATTGAACTCAACTGAAAATAATCGTATGAGAACAGGCCCTAAGTCTTTCTTCAAGGCTTTATGCATAGCTTCATCACGAACACGAGCTCTATTAGACATATAATTTTCCAAACTTGCAATTCGTTTGTTGCTATTTTCGAACTGAAAAGTCTCTTCATTTCTATTACTTGAAGACGCATTTTTAGCTTGATCATATTCATTTGGAACGTAATACGTTTTATACGTATCTCTTTCATCCTCAAAAATCATATTGTGCATAATGATACATGCTATCATTATTTTTCCTAACATTATTGATGCGTCACGAGCTAGCGCAAGATTCCGTATTATTGCAAAACGAGCTTGTAGTACTCATAAAGCGCACTCAAAATCCTTTCGTCTAGCTTCTTGTAATTTGGAAAAAAGACCTTCTTTTTCATTTTGTGGTAGTGATATTGTAGGACTGAATGTTGCCTATTTAGGATATATACCATCAGTGAGATAATACCCCATATTGTATTGCTGGTCATTCACAACATAATTAATAGAAGGTGCACAACCTTCAAAAACATCGTTAAACAAAGGGGATCTATCAAGAACGTTAATATGATTACGACCACCTGGTGTCCCAAAAAAAGCATGCCAGATCCAAAGATCATATGGTGCCACAGCTTCTAAGATTAATGTGGGTTTACCTGGTCTTCCAAAAAAGATCCCTTTTAATCGAAGTGGTCAATTTTTCCACCGCCAATGCATACAATCAATAGAACCTTGCATGTCTGGAAATCCTCGACATTCACCAATTCTTAGTAGTCTTACCAGATCTTCATGTTGTAGGAATCTCTTGCAAGAGACGCACTAATTCGAATGTAATCATCCATAAAATCAGCATAGGTGCCATAAGCTATACGCCTCATAACAGCTGTGCATTTTTGCAATCCGGAGGCACCAAACCTTCCTGTAGCATCTTGTCTTTGCTGAAAAAAGGGATGGCATTCTTCTTTAGTTTGCTTTATTCAGAGAAATATATGTTGGTTCATGCGAAATCTCCGACGAAATAACGTTGGAGGAAACACATGATGGTCAGCAAAGTAGTCATTCCATAAACGATTGTGTCCATCTTCACGATCCCTTGGAACGGGGATCCTTGGTGCCCTTGGAACTTGATTTAACATTTGATATACTTCAATTGAATTGGACATTAAAACTCCATCCATCATTCGGTTAACAAAACGATTGACTTGCCTTCGTCTTTCATATCGTTGTGTTTGGCTGTTTTCTAAATTCAATGAGGAATTAGAAGAGTTGGAGCTTTCGTCGGATGACATGTTATTAAAACCAAGTTGATATGAGAATGGAAGGTAGAAGTTTTTTAGGGGGAAAAATGGATGGTTGATCGAGTGAAATGCATCTTATCCATTTTATAGAACAAATGTGTTTGGTATGTAGTCATCTTTATTATATTATATGATAAATTTGAAGTCTTGCATGCATGCATTGATTAAGAAAGAAGTTAATAATTTTTCAGGAATGTAGATGCATGCTTTGTATGGTTAATATCACTGTAGACACCTAAAAATGTCTCTCCAAAACCAAACCCAATGATGAATAACCTTTCACCGTCATTATTGGTCGGGTTGAGTATTTAACCTTGAAGTGCTTAAATCCATATTCAATCCCAATAAATTTCATAAACCAACCCAACTCCTAACCCATTTCCCCAAACCATAACTTATTTTTCTCTTTTCGTGCTTTTAAACCCAAAATAATTCATTTTGTGTCTTTTAAAATCATTCATTTTGTGTCCTTTTTATAAAACGTTTAATCCAGTTTATTTTGGTCCATAATTTGGGTCCAATGATTTATTATTTGGATGGGTATTTAAAAGATCTTTCCAACGATATATTATAAGCCTAAATCCGAGTTATAACGAATAAGTTATGGCCAAAATATTAAACTGAGCCCAAACCGAACCTAAGCCCACCTTACCTACGACCCAATGATCATGTGGAGGGTCCAAATTATTTAATCCCATTCCTAAACCAATTAGGATTAATTGGAAGCTTCTATAAGTTTCTAAAAGATCCTAATTATCCTTTTTGAAAAGATAAGATTAAAGAGTTTGAAATTGAATAAAACTTTTCTTTTTGAAAATCCTATTTCTATCCAAATTGAAAGACGTTCAAAGATAGTTAGATATGAATTTCGTGCCTCATATTTTTTATCCAAATTTTATATGGTTTGATATCTCTTGAAATTATCTTTCCAATGATATATTATAATATCAATTCCGAGCTATAACGGAAAAGATATGAATAAAATATAAAACTCTATCCAAAACTGATACCGTCTCACTATTTCGGCTATATCTTTTGTTCTACAACATATTTTAATATGATTTTAATTGGGTTAGAAAGTAGAATTCAATAGCTTTTCAACTATATCTTATTTATCTTATTCCTATATCTGGATCAAAAGATATGATAAAAACAAAAACCGTAAAAACTGCTGTCTATCGAGTTTTATTCCGATTTAATTCGGATCTTATCTTAATTCTTCGACCCCTCTTTTTTCTCTATAAATAGAGGTCATATCACCCTTTTTTCAAGGATCAACAAGCTTGATCATTAAATCCTTCTTTCTTTCTCTCTTTTACACCAAAAATCATTCTCTTCTCTCTCTCCCATATTCTAAGCCTTAAATCTATATTCCTAATTACACCATTCTTCTCTTAAGAACACCAAGGAGTCTATACTAAACCCGAGGTTCCGTCCTTAAACCAAGGCGTGAAAGGTATAAATAACTGATGGTTTGGACCAAATCAACTTTACTTTTGATTTAATTTAATTTTAATTTACTTTTTTTTTTTATTGAAGTTACTAACAGTTTATTCATGATGTA